CCTACCTTTGTATTTAATCTTTTTCATTTACTATGTATAATAAGCGTGTATATAGGACGCGGCGTATCACATACACACACACACACACACACACACACACACACACACATGCATCTACCCACGGGGTACACAATAGTCTAAATAAAACAACAATTAAGGTCGCGATAACTTGCTTAATTCGTGTATCGAAGTCCTGCAGTATTTCATTTTTAGATAAGCTAAATCACTGCTACCAATTATGCAATAGTTGCCTGTTGTTTGGTAACAGCACTTTATTTATTAATTCTGCTGAATTAATAAATAAAGCCTGAGTCAGCCTGATTCCGCTGAGTCTTTCTATTGTTTTAAAATTTCCTAGTTTCCTTTAGGGTCTGGCACATCTGGAACAGTATTTGATGCCCCTCGAGGCATTGCTGTCTTACTGATTTTTCATTATTTCTAGGGCCGATTATAACGAGAAGAAAAAGAGCCTGCAGGAGAAGATGAACGAATTTCGAAATGAAATTGAAAGTCTGAAAGTTGAAGAGCGGCAGTCGGAGCACGATCGAATTCATGCTGCCAATGTGCAATTGGGTATTGATAAATACTCAACACTTCGAAAGGTAATTTTTTATACATCTAAAATTTGTTAAATCTAATACATACGTGAAATACTTAGTTCCTTTGCGCAGCCGGCAGCATTTCCTCTTGCTATGATCACTGTTTCATCGCTTGGAAGAGTCAGCCTGCTGCGATCCTAACGTTCGTTTCGTCTGCTAATTGTGCTGCGATTTCAGCGGTTTTTCTGATGAAAGTAATTGAGAAGGCATTAGTCATTTTGACATGCCGTCAGTGTGTTTGAGGAGAGTTCTGAACGTTGCTGTACCTAATCGAAGGGTACTTTGGGCTACTCAAAGTAAAGTCTGTGTTGAATTTAATAAAATTCAAAAAAAAAATTTGACGTAAAAGTTTTTTAAAATAAATCCGAAAGAATAATTTTCAAAATTTTTGAACTGAAACTCCAGGAGATATTCTTATTCTGTACGAGAATTCTATTCCCAAGGAATTCGTTAGTGATATTTTGTGGCACTGTGAATAGTTACACGTAAGTAACGATGTTACATGTTGTGTTGTTAGTGACGTGGCTATGCGAGTAGGTTCTTCTCGAATTTTAAAATAACAATTTTTGCAGTCATCGGCAGAATTGTATACATTCCACGGTCACAAGGTGATTTACATTTTGAGCAAAAAATCAGGCTTGTTTGCTGTGTGTTGTGCGATTGAATAACAAACGAGTAACATAATTTATTGCCAAAATTGCTGTGTTCAGTCAGTGCGTTTTCGATGTCAGCAATTTTACTGCGACAAAGCTACACACCGGACTTTGAGTCAGGCCATTTCATGCTCCGTATTTCCAGTTTTACTCTGAAATGTGCACACTTGCCTACTCCATGGACATTGTTTAAATGTCTGTTGCGCTTACTGCAGTCTATCAAAAAATAATGATTGGCCAGTGCACCGACTGTCAGTGCGGAAATGCGTTTTTTTCACAGTTCCCCGCAGGTTTTTGTCACTAACGGCGCTGTTTTTTTCTGGCAGATGCTTCTAGCTAAAAGAATTGACACTAGACACCACGACTGTATTCCCTTAAAATTTCAGCTTTGTAGCTTTTCTGATTCCCGAGCTAGCAACTTACCTGCCAAAAATTTCTCGGGCCGGTACGTGGGAACCACGCACATCTGCGGACTGGATCTGAACTCATTAAGTCCTACGTATTGCGGGTCTGTACGTGGAAACCACGCACAGCTGGGGGTTGGATCTGAACTCATTAAGTCCTACGTGTTGCGGGTCCGTACGTGGGAACCACGTGGGCAAGAGTGTCCATTTTGGGGATGGTGGCCCGTAAATGCACTTAGATTAAGTTCTAAAATTTTCAGCCTGGTAGCTTTATAGGTCTCGAGATGAAAAATCGGTACAAACGCACACACAAGCATACATACATACATACGCACGCACAAACAAACAAACAAATTCCCTCGACAATTTGCGTTTTTGCACTGCACAGATGCAAAAAACGAACAAAAGTACTAGAAGTGAACTAAATGCAAGTATGCAACATGAAAGAAAGGATATTTTACAGGAAAGACAGGCATACTAAGCCCACAGTGTTAAATATGTGTGCACAGCTCGAACTGGCTTGATTCAGGCTATGCCTCATGATCCTGCCGGTCCTGGGGATTTTGTGTTTCGAACACCATGTTTCTGCATCGTTAGCCGAATCAGGTTTTGTGTGGATCGGATAAAGCAGATAGTGATTAATTTGATCAACTGAGCAAGTGAGCTGACCGTATCAAATATGAATAGAGATAACTCAATATAAAATGATTTTATATTTTTTATTGGTATTATTGAATTCTTCTTAATTCCTATGAGAAAAATGGGTTTACTTAGTTTGTTTTGCTAGAAACAGTAACATTCTCACTCGATTTCCAGTGTTTTATTGTGTTGTTTGTCTGAGTTTTTGTGTGTTTTGTGCATGTGCAGTTGATTTTTTTCTTGTTTTTCGAGATAAATTAATTGACTGCTTACTCTTAGAAAAGCCGTAATAGTAATATCAATAATAATAATGATAATAATATTAGTAAATAATAATAATAGTAATAATGGCACTGATATTATTGCATATGGTCTTTCTTGTTTTGACCATAGTAACAGCTGTAATTACAGAGTGGTGCTGGAGCGCCGAAAAGTCGCGTACAAGTATTCGATGGCCTCTGAAAATTCCATCTGCTAACACTGTGGCAGTCTCAGGATTGCATTATCTAATTTTTCTGAAAGAATCCAATTGATTATTTTGTTATTCTTTGTATACAAGTTATGCCTTTTTTACTTCGCCCATATTAGTCGTGCCTTATTTCTGGTGCAAAATATCCTTTGTTTTCCGCACAATTCCCCTCTTCTCGTCGCATACACACACACGCATGTCTGCACGTACAGACGTACACACATACATATGAGTATGGCGGTGTTTGAGTAATGCGAAGAGCTACACACTGGGGAATTTAGGTGATCCTGGTGAAGATATTTCTATGTTTACGGTTATCACGACGTTTTTTTCTTTCTTTTGTTGCCTTGTCTACCCTGCAGTGCCCAGAGCTGTTTCTTTCATTGCTTTGTTTTTCGCTTGCATTTGCTCACATATCACAATCAGTGTCTTTTGATAATTTTCTTTCTTTCAAGCTCTCGGTGAGATTTCTTCATTTTATCCCCACTCGCTATGTGCACTTATTCCGGACATCCGTAATACATCCCTCATTGCGGTGAATTCCCCCTCACTGCCTAACAATAGGACGCATTATGTTACCATTCGTTGATGTCATTTACAGTCTTATCACTTTAGCATTTTTTTACAGCATGCCATTTTTCATTAGTTTTTTTTTGCTGGTGCTTTTGCAAATAAGTGCCTATTAGAACGGTTCTCTATTCTGTTTCGTGTACGCATTTATGAAACCAAAATGATTTCTTCCCTCAGATTTTCTTTTTTTCTTTTTTCAGAATTTTCTATAATTGTGCCTGCCAATGCGAGTAATACACCGCATGTTCAACTTTTGACCGCGTGCTTCTGT